CCTCCTCCTCCTCCTCCTCCTCCATCCTCCTCCTCCTCGCTCCTCCTCCTCCTCCTCCTCCTCCCATCCTCACCCCACCAAGCCCACCGACCACCCGCACTCCTGCCTCCTACTTACGACCACCTCCCCCTCCTCGCCCTATTACCTCCACTTCCACCAACCACTCCACCTGATCCTCCCCCTCTCACCACCACCACCACCACCTCCTCCACCACCAACCTCCCCACCAGCCACCACCGACCCATCACCACCACCACACCTCCTCCTCCTCTCCTCCTCCTCCTAACCTCCTTCTCCTCCCCTCCTCCTCCTCCTCCTCCTCCATCCCCCACCTACCACGCACACATCTTCCCTCCTCCTCCTCCTGCCTCCTCCCTCCTCCTCCTCCTCCTCCAACAACCAATCACCTCCACACTCCTCCTCTTCCACCAACCACCTCCTCCACCCTCTAATTCACCTGATCCTCCCCCTCCTCCACCACCACACACGCTCCTTCCCTCCTCCACATCCTCCGTCCTCCACCACCACCTCTCTCCTCCTCCTCCCTCCTCCTCCCTCCTCCTCCTCCTCCACTCCTCCTCCTCCACACACGCACCACCACAACCGCACCGACCGACCACCACCACCACCACCACCACCACCACCTCCTCCTCTCCACCACCCTCCATCGCCACCTCCTCCACCACCACCACCTTCCACTCCTCTCCTCCTCCTCACTCCCCTCCTCCTCCTATTCCACACCACTCCACCTTCCCCTCCTCCTCTTCCCCCACATCATCCTCCTCCAATTCTCACACCAACCACCCTCTCCCTCGCTCCCCCATTCCCTTCCTCCTACTCCCTCCTCTCACCTCTCCGCTCCTCCCTCCCCTCCACCTCCCCTCCTCCCTCCCCTCCTCCCCTCCTCCTCCTTCCCTCGCCCTCCTCTCACTCCTCCACCACCTCCTCTCTCCTACCCCTCCTTCAACACACCACCATTTCCCACCCTTCCCCTCCTCCTTCCTTCCACCATTTTCCACCTCACACACCAACCTCCTCACACCTCCCTCCCTCCTCCCCCTCATCCTCCTCCTCCTCCTCCTCCTCCTCCTCCTCCTCCTCCACTTCTCCCCCCCCTCCATCCCCCTTCCCTCCTCCTCCCCTTCCCCCACCTCCTCTTACCACCACTCCAAACCACCACCCACCACCTCCCCCTTCCCCTCTTACCTTCCTCTCTCCCCCTTCCCTCCTCCACCTCCTCCTCCTTCCCATTCCCCTCCTTCTCCTCCTCCACACACCACCACCACCTCCCCCTTCCCCTCTTCCTCCTGCTCCTCCTCCATCCTCTTCAACACCTCACTCCTCCTCCCCTCCTCTTACCAACGCACCTCCTCCCCTTCCTCCTCCACTACCTCCTCCTTCTCCTCAGCTCCTCCTTCTCCCTCCTCCTCCACCTCTCCTCCCCTTCTCCTCCTCCTCCCTCCTCCTCCTCACACTCCCTCCTCCTTCCTCCTCCTCCTCCTCCTTCCCCTACTCACTCTTCCACCAACCACCACCCACCTCCTCAACTCCTCCTCCCCTCCTCCCCCTATCCCCTCCTCACACCTCCTCCTCCTTCCCTCCTCCACCCCCTTCCTATCTTCCCCTCCTCCTCCTCCTCCCTTCACCTTCCTCCTCCAACCTCTCCTCCTCCTCCTCCTCCTCCTCCTCCACCACCACCTCCACCACCACACCACTCCACCTTCCCCTTCCTCCTCTTCCTCCTCCTCCTCCTCCTCCTCCTTCCTCCTCCTCCTCCACCTCCTCCTCCCTCCCTCCTTCCTCCACCTCCCCACCACACCCTCCCCTCCTCCTCCTCCTCCTCCTCCTCCTCTCCTCCTCCTCGTCTTTGTTGCCTGCCATGGGACGTCACATCACGAACGCGCTGTAATATTGAGTGTTTACAAACTACCGACAATTTCTCTCTATCCCTTCGTCGCGCCGCCTAGCCCTGGCTTCGGCTTTCTTTTTATTTATTTATTTGTTATTATTTTGTGTGTTTGTTGTTTCTTTCTTTCTCTTTGTCTGGTTCTGTCTTTCTGTTTTCTGTCTGTGTCTGTGTTGTCTCTGTCTCTTTCTCTTTCTCTCTCTCTCTTCTCTTTCTCAACGTCTCTCTCTCTCTTCTCTCTCTCTCTCTCTCTCTCTCTCTCTCTCTCTCTCTCTCCTCTCTCTCTCTCTCTCTCTCTCTCCCTGATTGAACTGAAATAAAAAACATGCATTTTTTTTATAGAAAGATGTAAT